TATTTGAGGAATAGGAGTAACCAGGGTCTTTGGCAGTCTATGCAGGTGCCCAAGTCCAACTGGCGTCTATTCATGAAGATCCTGCTTTCCTGATTTACCCACATGATTGATGTAAATATACTATTCAGAAGTGAGAGGAAGTGGTCTAGATCAGTGGTTTACCCACTGCTTGTTCTGTAGTATCTTCTTTCACTGTGTGTACCACAGATATACAGGTACTCCTTGACTTAGAACTGCTTAACGACCATTTGAAATTACAACAGACCCCCCCCAAAAAAAGCTATAAAAGACCATTTCAAAGGAACCCCCTCAAACACTCCAAAAAACTCAATTTAAGCTCCTCCTCTTACTGTCATCTGATTGCATTGTGGGAGTTGGGCAACTGGCCTGAATTTTCGGCCATTTGCAGAGCCCTGTGGTCCTGAGACTGCAATTTGCAATTTTTTTTTAAAACCAGAAACCAGTGTTTACTTCTGGTTTCCAACAAAAAAATGCCCACTGGGTACAATTGGTTCACTTGATGACCAGGGTGTTTGCTTAACAAATGTGTCATTCATTTAATGACTGCCACAAAATCGGTAATAAAGCCAGGAATGGTCACATTGTGACCCACAATTGCCAGCGTCACTTACAACTAATTCCAGGCTCAATTACAGTCATAAGTTGAGGACTACTTGTATATGCAGTCACACAAGGGAAGCCAGAAGCATCTTTAAATTAATGTAACTAAGTGGTAGCTGCAACATTGGATCCATCTTCATAAGGAAAGGATCAAACTAATTCGGAAACATTTCCTGGACACTGTGGACAGGGTGAAGTCTCAGGAGCGACAAAAGAACTCTTGAGTAAATGCTATTCTTTCCTCCTTATTAAGTAATTCTCTATTTGTTAATTTCTCTTTTCTAGTCTAACAATCCCAAATAGTGGCTGTCTTGGTCCACATTATAAAAAAAAAACCCCTATAAACAGAAAAAAAGAGAAACAATTAATCTGATTTCACCCTCTTACTCATTTTTTTTCCAGTTTGTTCACTCAGTATTTCCAGATGAGATTGCAATTTAAAAAACTATAAGCAATTAAACTTGGAATACAAATTTCAGATAATGTTTAGCTACTGCCACAATTATACTGCTAAGTTAATTAATTAATTCCAGCCTAGTTGTTTTGTACAACTGTCCCAAGCCTAATCAGTAATCTTGAAAAACATTTACATTGTTGGATGGATGGATGGATGTGTATGAAGGTAGGTGTGTGTGTGTGTGTGTGTGTGTGTGTGTGTGTGTGTGTATGGAGGTCTGCCTATCTGCCCAACAGAATGGCAGTTATATACATAATTTTTTTTAATAAAGTTGTATGCTGAATGTTTGCACATTGTTTATATTTGTATTCTTCTTTCTGTGATTTTATGACATAGTGAGATATAATGAAACAGCAGTGTAATGTATTTTCTCTTTCACCTTACTCAATATCCAAAATGCTAAAAATTACATGCAATAAACAAATTTGTCATCTTGTATGCTTTTGTAAACCTCACTCCGATTCAACAGATAAGAAATATCAAAGAAGTGAGATATAGTGAAATCTCACCTATTGGTGGTGCCCATTAAAAAAAAAAAAGAGTGTTTAGGTTTGTCACAGGCATTCTTGAGTTGATAAATGTGTTAATACACAGATAGAGATAAGAAAACTGTGTCACTGATATAGGTAGTCCTTGACTTAGGACCACAATTGAGACCAGAATTTCTGTTGTTAAGCAAAGTAGTTGCTACCTGAGTGAAGCCCAATTTTGCAACATTTTTTGGCCAGGGTTAACTGTATCACTGAGTTGTTAAGTGAATCATGTAGTCATTAAGCAAATTCGGCTTCCCCATTGACTTTGCTTGCTAGAAGCCAGCTGGGAAGCTCACAAATGGCAATTCCGTGATCCTCGGATGCTGCGACTTTTGTAAAGCCTCAGTGGCGCAGTGGTTAGAGTGCAGTACTGCAAATTACTTCTGCTGACTGCCGGCTGCCTGCAATTTGGCAGATCGAAACCGGCCAGGCTCAAGGTTGACTCAGCCTTCCATCCTTCTGAGGTGGGTAAAATGAGGACCCAGATTGTTGGGGGCAAGAGGCTGACTCTGTAAACCACTTAGAGTGGGCTGTAAAGCATTATAAAGGGTATATAAGTCTAAGTGCAAGAGCAAATGCATAAATATGTACCAGTTGCCAAGCACCTGAATCCTGATCACATGACCATGGAGATTCTGTGTCAATTGTAAGGACTGGTTGTAAACAACTTTTTTCAGTGCCATTGTAACTATGAATGATCACTAAAAGAATGGTTGCGAATTGAGGACTATCTTTCATCTGGGTCTTACTACACTACAATCCATTGGTTGCTAAAGTTGTTCATCAGTGGAAAAAAAACTTTCTTTCCCAATATTTAGCAATGCTACTCCAATTTTTCTCTTCCTGAGAGATGGGTGGTGAGTAGTAGAGACAGCCTCTTCAATTTTGAGACTCTAGAAAGTGTGCAGAGAAGGGCAACCAAGATGATTAGGGGCCTAGAAGCTAAAACATATGATGAATGGTTGTAGGAGCTAGGCATGGCTAGTCTAGTGAAGAGAAGGACAAGGGGAGACATGATAGCAGTATTCCAATATTTGAGGGGCTGCCACAGAGAGGAGGGGGGTTCAAGCTATTTTCCAAAGCACCTGAAGGCCAGACAAGGAATAATGGATGGAAACTGAGCAAGGAGAGATTCAACCTGGAAATAAGGAGAAATTTTCTGACAGAGAGAGTGATCAATCAATGGAACAGCTTGCCCTCAGAAGTTGTGGGAGCTTTATTACTGGAAGCTTTCAAGAAGAGACTGGACTGCCATCTGTCAGAAATGGTACAGGGTCTCTGTTTGGGCTAGATGACCTACAAGGTCCCTTCCAAATCTATTAATCTGTTAAATTTCAAAGCAAAACACTTGCACATGAGGTGCAGGATCACTGGCAAGAAGTTTCTTTTTGAGATTGAGGCACAGTGACAGGGGGAAAAAAGCCAATTCCCCAAGTTTTCTTAATAAGTGCATTTTTAACTTCCTAATTTTCCACAGCCAGGTAGTATTTGGAGCAAGCTGTTTGGGAGGTGGGAGAAGGGAAAGGCAAAGACAGAATTTCCCTCATGTGTGATAGCACTCACTGTCTTTCAGTTCTAAAAAAGTCAGAGTTAGATTTAGTCAACCCAGATTATCTGGAAAGAGGATATGAATTCCAAAATGAGATGATTTTAACGGCTAAAGCAGAGTGTGCAAATACTGCACAGATGGTTTGGCAGCATATTACATCAGATAAAACTTGTAGGTAATTTATAGTTGGGCAGCAACATTTCTCAGTCTACAACTGAATTAATTTGCTGCTACTATTGTAAGAAAAAAAGAATGCATGCCATTTGTGTTCGATTTCTTGGTTTTATTTTTTGGGCACACCTGGAGCTTAGTGACAGTACCCAGAAAAAAAACCTTAAATATATGACAGAAAGACAAATTTTAAATTATCAGTGCCTCTAATTTTAATTTTGTTGTTTGCCATGACACTAAGCTGCAGGAATTCAGTGAAGTTGAAACAGGTTCATAATATGGGATTCAGGCAAGTGATAAAGAGCTTGTCTAAAGCTGATTAAATACCTGTATCACCCCTGTTTATATCTAATCATGAAATACCTTAAGCAAGCATATTTCCAGATAAATGAACTTGAAAGAAATAATCAGGTATATACTAGCTCCAGTTTAGGAAAGTGAGAAATCTGCCCTTTGAGTTTCAAGGTGACAAACAATGGTTGGTTATAATCAAGAAAAGATGCATTCATTGTCTAAGCAATATTGAATATTGCAGTATCAAATGCTTCTATTCAGGATATTCCATTCCTTATCTCCTTCCGCCTGTTCCCACAAATAATTAAACAATACACCTCTTGAACTCTGAACACATTCAATGCTTGTTGGGCTACTTGGGAGAAGGGAGATTCTTCAAATATATCACAAGGGTTTTCCACCAGATTTCATTAATTGTTGACTGTTCTCCATTAATTCTTCAGAATTTTGGCTGGCACCCAAACTCAAAGAATAGTTATTGTTTTCAACAAGAGGCATATCTCTTCTCCACATTTAAAACAACATGTACATTCCAGATCTTTTTTCAAATCGTTGGCTTGTATAAGAAGCCGAGCCATAAGAAAACAGAAGGGAAAAATGCTCTGACTTGAATATTATATTAACTCTAATTTTCTGCCTTCAAGGACTATAAAATATAGCTACTCATTTTATAATTTCCATGCACTTAAGAAAAAGTCAAAGATAAAATGTCATCTATTTTCCTGTACGATCACAAGGGTAGTCAGTAAGAATAACTATAGTGAACTTACCAAGAAAGTAATCTAAAACATTTATATGATTGCCTTTATTTGTTAACTGGCAAAAAGCACAACCAAAACCACAATGAATTAATTTCATGGATAGTATCAGCTGCCAGAATAAGCAATATGACTATTGGAAACTAATTGCAGACCTCCTGACAAGAGACTGGGAAAACCAACAAAACAAATACGATATGTTCAAAGTGCATGCATACGCCATCTGCTTTGCTGAGAAGAATAGACAAGAATTCAAAACATGCCTCATAATATCTGCACCTTGAAAAAGCATCTTATAGCATACTATATTCTTTGCATTTTGCTAATTTGCTGAGATGAAAAAAACACACACCAAACTTACTTGTGTGTTACAACAGAACAAGAGTAAATGTGCTATTTTTTTTACATATCTATCAATGTATTGCACCCTCTGCTGGTCAAAGATATTCCCAACAAAATGATAGCCATTTATCAATCCACAGGTCAACAATACCCTTGATGGATGGTATTTAAAATATATACCTGTGCTTTTCCACACCATGAACTTTGTGTACATCTACCTGATATAAGCCTCATACTTATTAATTATGAACTTATTAGTGCTCAAGTTCTCTTACCTTGGGCTTTTCATCCAGTATTTGCTGACGAATCTCTTTGTGTTTCTCCACAAGTTTTTCCTGTCTTTTGGTCTGGGCATCTTCTAGCTGTAATTAAAAACAAAGTCCCCTATAATTCACATGTCTATCTGAATTCCTCAGTTTCAACACTCAAAAACACAATATCATAATTGTCTTGGGTAACAAAGTTTTAGAGAACATTTTGACATAAAATAATGTCATCATTATTAAAATAGTCAACTTCTTTCATGTAAGAGTTCAGGGCATGTCAGTAGATTTGTTTCAAATTTTAAAGTTTTAATAGCTGGAAATGTGCAGCTGAAAATGGAAAATACATTCTTAATATATGGTGATTAGCTGCAGCATTTAATTAGGCCAAGTAGCTAGTATTAACTGCAGGGCGCACTGTCCTTTTTAAAATCTAAACATATTTATGTTCCTGCAAATCTGTTGGACTGTGTTGATACTTTTTAATACCAACTTCTGTGTCATTAGGTGAAGTGCCATATGCTCTGAAGAGAGTGAATGGCTTAATTGGTCTCACTGCTAACTTGCTTTACAAAAAACAGCATTTTTTTTTCAATAGACAACATGCAAATCACAGAGCTTTGAAGAGATGAGGAAAGATAACTAGATACTGACCAGCATACTCATTTTATTTTTAATTCTATTCAATCATGTCTGATTCTCAGAGAGTGAGAAGTGCAGTTTTCTTGACAAGGTTTTACTGAAATGATTTGCCATTGCCTCCTTCCAAGGGCTGAGAGAAAATGATTGGCTCAAAGCCACCCAACTGGCTTTGTGCCTCAGGCAGGACTAGAACTCACAAATCTCCGAGTTTCCAGCCTGATGGTGCTTAACCACTACACCAAAATAAAGCTTGCCCATAAAGAACCATTTTTTTCATGCATGTTAGTGGGAAGTATTTCCTTTTATAAGTGCTCCATTTGATTTGTCATGACATCTTACAGCAACTAAGTGACTTTTTACCCATTTCTGAACAGCGTTTTGGGGGCATAACTTTGCCATGCAAGAACAGAGTCTGGATTTTAAAGATATTATTTTGTGTTCCTCTGAAGTAGGCATGCATAAAGGAGAATATTTGTAGCTCAGGGTTGAAATGAGAGGGCCTTGGTGAGGAGTTTGAGTTTGCTTGTTTTCTTGCCCATGTTTCAGTATCCTAGCTAGTCAGGATAATGAAACGTCGTCAAGAAAACAAGCAAACTCAGAGAGCACCAAGAGAGCACTCTTATGCGTGTATGAATGTATGTATGTATGTATTGAACAAATATATATGGCCACTCATCTACCAAAAGTATTCAAGGTATCAGACAGGAAAAAAACCCAAAACCAAAATCACATTCCATAGCAAAACAAGAAGCAACTGAAGTTCCACATCTGAAACACAATTGTTCAACTTCTCTGTATTCCTTCTTATTTCAGTTGCGGTGCTGTTATATCTGCAGCCAGGTAAGAACTGATCTGCCTCTGGAGAATCAAGGAAAAATGGTAAACTAAATTTATAAAATTTTAGCACTATCTGGAAATTGGGACTGCAAATTGTCTCTGCACAAAAATAAGGCTACTATTATGTTGGGGTTTTGCTATTTCAAGATAATCACAATGTGCAAATCAGCCTAAATATTTAAATGTAATCTTTATGCCAAGGTGAATACATGTTGTAGGTAGTAGACTTACTCTTTTAATGTACTGTACCACCTCTTGAATATATGAACGAATCATTTCTGTCTTCTCCCTGAGAGGAAAATTAAAAATGATTAATCCCATTTATTTTTTAAAATCACTTATTACTGGTTTTCTGCTACAAATAATTTGTTTATAAAATAATTGGTAAACTTCACTAAGAGAAAATCAGAGCCAAATTTTACATATATTGCCCAGTGTATTCTTCGCCAGATATCAAAATGGTTTAATCTTTTATTTCAAAGAGATTGTGTGCTCTTTGTCATGCGCTATTATGAGTGCCATTATGATTGATTGGAAACGTCCTTGAGGATGATTCAAACAAAATCATCCTCAAGGAAGGATGCTCTTCTAAATAAAGGAAAAATAATGGACCATCACTGTGGGAATCTATATTACTGTTCTGCCTGCTTTTTAATATAATATGTGGAAGGTGACAGTTAAACATACATTTTTAAAAAAATATTAGGATTTTTTTCTATTGGTGTTTCAGGTCTTCTGGATACAAATTAAGGTGAGAATTGGAAGACTGCACTTACTCATCCATTTGATTTCTGTCCTTGGACTTTGCTTCAGTGATCTTCTCTTGCCTTTTCTTGTCCATCTTTTTCTTTAACTCTTTCTTTTCTCTTCAACAAATCCAGATTTGTTTTTATGAAAGAAGAAAACAGAGCAAAAGTTACGCTATGCACATTCACCCAGAGGTGACTCACTCTGTCTTAACTCTTCTGTAAGGACATATAGAATGGTCGTCAAAATAATTGGTAAATGGTCTTTACCTTTCACAAATCTCTTTCAACTTCTTTAGTTGGTTGCTTTGGCATTCTTCTGCTACATCTGTCAGTTTTTGTATAAGCTTGGAAGGAGAAAAAAAAAAAAAAGATACGTCATAAATTGTACCAGCCACATTCAGTTGTTAAGAATTGCACAGGTAATCTTCAGGTTGTGATCCTAATAGAGCCTACCCATTAGGGTAGAAGATCAAAATAATGTAAAATGAACTGTCTCAAGTAATGACCATTCTTGTTCTCCCCAATGCATTCATTAAATGAGTGCATGGGCCTTTAAGTAGGAATAGGGGAAGATCCTGGAAGGCCTAATGCAAGCACCAGCCCTCCTGCCTCAGGCCTCCCCCATCCCCAGATACTGGGCCACAACCTAGCGGACTACTTGCCAACCAGAAACAATGGGGAAGGAAAACCCTGGGCTCACCTGTCTTTCCTAATTCTGCATCTGCCCTTCCTCCTGCTAATATATTCTGCCTTTCTGGGGCAAAACAAGAACTAGTTCCCTAGCCTTTCGGAGTTTTCTCTTTAATCAGGTGTTCACCCATCAACTGTCCATGGGGAGGGTGCAAAACTCTCCTGCCACTCTAGGCTTTGAGAAGAGGGCCTTTGCACAAAAGGTAGCTTCAGGACGAGCTTCCCAAAACTTTTCCCTACCTTAATGCCCCCTTCCTTCCCTCCAAAAGCCACTTTTTCTTCAATAATAAAAACAAAGAAGCTGGTAGGGATGGACTCATTGATCTTTCTTCCCACCTCCTGCCGACCCAGTTAGGTGCTAAAACTAAACTGTCCCTCTGCTTTCCAACCAATATCTCTTTTGAAACTATAACTTGACTCCAGGCTGAATCAAAGAGGAACCAAGCAAGCAAGAAGAGAATTTTTTTTCTATAGCTAGTCCAGCCTTTAAGTGCTAGCTGGACTAGATAGGCAGCCAGGAGGAGAGCTAAAGCTTGCAAAGACCAAGCATCCCCCGTTTTTTTGGCACAACTTTTAGATATAACTTTTTTTTTTGTTTTTACTTCAGTGGAAAAAAGCTGCAGAAACATTTTGTATCCTTGCTCATTTGATTCCTCTACTGTTTAGCCTCGAGCAAGCCCAAAGCCTAGAGAGGCAGGAGAGCTTTGCAGCATTCCTATGGGCAGCTGATGGGCCGACAGTTGATTAGCGGAGAAAGCTCTGCAAGCAGCCACCATTTTAGCAAGGAATTGTTGGGGTGCTGAAAATGGCAGCTGCTTCCAGGAGTCACGGGGAACAAGTCTAAGTACTGTGTGGGGAGGGGAGGGGAAGAAGGCAAGCAAAGGCATTGCAGCATTCCTCTGGTCTGTTGTAAGTGCGAATGACCATGTGAGTGCTGCATCTGTCATAACCTTGAAATAGGTTATTTGTAGTTTTGGGGTGTTGATTGTTTTGAATGGTCATTAAGTGGCCTGTCATTTCTTGAGGACTACGTGTATAATGAGGCTTTAGGGTTCTACCTGCTCCACCCTTGGGATGGATGCTTCATCAGAGAGCAACTGGTAGGCAAAAACTTCAGGAAGGACTAAGATAAGACTCCCACCGTGAATGCTAGAAAGCTACCGCTAATATTGACTTAAATAGGCCAGGAGCTGATATCATATCAGTGGAGCAACATACATATATACATGCATACATGATTACTCCTTGAATAATCATCCTTCTATTGGCACATTCAGGGGACATTTCCCACCTGTGCCAAGCTGGAGAGAATAATTCGGCAAAATAATCAACCCAATCAGATCAGGCCAGCAAAGAATAAGCACTACTACCACTTACCTCAGGATTATAGAAAGAATCAGAAAACAAAATAGCCAGAATTAGATCTGGATATTGCTACATTCATTACTTGAATCCACATGTTTTACTCTGTCCAATGGTAAGGACGCTTCTACATATATAATAAATGGAAATAATTTGCCCCAAACATGAAGACATTTAATTTGAATCTAAAACCTGCCTTTAACCAGAACAGGACTTATGGTCTATACAGACTTATATGGTTTAGATCTGGGACAATGCTGTCAAGAACTGATAATGCTTAATGCAAGGACAGATGAATTTTTTCTCCCTGTTACTTTCCAATCTCATCCAAAAGAGAGAGGTAACTTGAGACAATCCACCAGGCCTACATGGACTGTATTTATGAACCTCTGTATCTCATCTTGTTATTTTAAGGCTTCCTGTAGATAGATACCTTGTGATCACCCATTTCTGTCTACTAATTTCCAATGCATTACAAATATCACATTATTCTTAATTGTTATCATGCTAAAATAACTTTAGCATGACAGAATAGTGAATGAGGAACAAATTCCATTATGTTTCATATAAGAATCCATCTGCTCATCAGAAAGCACAATCAAGCAAATTGCTACAGTATTTAAAAATCCAAGTTCTGAAAACTTGATTGGAAAACATACAGTACCACTGGACCAAATATATAGAATTAAAAGTAAATATATACAAATTAATCAGTAATAAGTTCTAATTAATGATTTTGTGCCTTCGAAGCAGCCACAACTCCTGATGATGGACAAGCCTCTATAGTTTGCTTTGCAAAACTTTCAAAAGTTGTTTGCCGCTGCCTTCTTCCAGCTGGCAGTTCTTCTTCAATCCATAGAAGTTGAATAAAAATAGAGATATAAATTGCTATGCTAAGTTAGGAGTCCCAAGAATGTTGTCTTCAACTGGAGCAATGATACTACTATACTACTGCAGGACTATTTTATCCGAGAGCATCAATTAAAAATATTTTGCCTAATCTTAGCAAACTATGTCTTGAACTGGGATGGCACAGAGATGAGATTCAATATACAGTATTAAATAAACGACTTGTTTTCATGAAAAACTTGAACATTGTGATGCTTTGAAACCTAAGAACAGGGGTCCTCAAACTTGGCAACTTTAAGACTTGTGGACCAACTCCCAGAATTCGTCAGCCAGCAAAGGAATTCTGGGAGTTGAAGTCCACAAGTCTTTGGAGACTTCTGCCTAAGAACATCCTATCTGAAAGAATTTTAGAGACTTGTCAAAGGACACCGTAGCTATTTTTCCACAGTTATGTATTCATGTGAAATCAAGAAATACTGATTTGAAATATTACACATTGTGAAAAGTAAATGGGAACTTTCAGCAATTACACCATATTAACCAATCATGAGGATTGATCAAGGCATATAGAGTTAGGCATCAAGCAAAGCACTGTTCTGTGATGATCAACTCTCTTTGATCCCTCAATCAGGAATGAAAGCCTCAAAGAGCACGTTTCTCCCATCACTTTTCCTGTTATTGAACAGATGCCTGGGCCACTGAAACTTTTCCACTGATCCCAAGTGGGCCCTAATGCCTTTCTCCTGGGAACATTCATGAGAAATACGTTTCAATAATTTTTCAATAATAGGTTTTTAAGAAGTTGGGCAACAATTTGTCCAGAATGGTGTAAGGTCTCCTGTTTGAGCAGGGCGTTGGATTCCAAGTCCCTTCCAACCCTATGATTCCTTGATTCAGCATCAGATAAGTTTTCTGTATATAGCAGCATACGCTTAGTGAGGATGGATAAGTGTTTAAATTATCTTGCCATTGGTATGACTGGAATTTCATGCCTTTTAACAGGAAGCTATGTTTACACTCATACTTGTGAACTGTGATACCAGTTCCCTATTCTGGTTCATAAGGCTTAATAAATTAACACACACTAATCTGTTTTACCATATTATACAGATGGAATAAAATAGCCAGGTTTGTTACAATATCATAAATTTCAACAAATACACATTCTGGGACAGATTGAAATAATAGTAATATTCCATTGCCTCATTCTTTTTTCTTGATATTCTAAAGCATCTATTATTATCTGATCAGACTCTTCATTTAGCCCAAAGGGCTGCTCCATGCAGGGCGCCTGAATCACAGCTGTAAAAATAACAGCTGCTCTGGGGACAATAAATACACAATATTGTTTTGTTCTTTATAGCTTGTATTCTAGCTTCCATTTAGTACACATAAATTTACTGGAGGCTTTCTGGCACAAACAAGTAGTTAGAAGACATCTGAGTGGTATCAAAGCTCTTGTTTCCAATTTTATAGGCTACACTAATTTAACTGCTCATTTTGAAATGCTTTCTGAAACTTTAGAGTGACAGCATTGCATTAGGCATAGCATGACAGTCTAAGTTTCAAAGCTAGAAGAGGCAAAGATCCCCAAGCAATAGTATTATCACCATAACAATATATATTAGAGCTCACCCTTTGTTATTTGTGGTGAGCAAACCTGAAAGATTTGCATCTGCTCTCAATAATCACAAATACATAAAGTAGGAAAGACATTGACACTAAAAAGATTAACTAAATAACTTAATACAAATTACATTTGTGTATCTATTACATTGAACCAACAAGTCTAAAGAGAGTGTAATATATATTTCTGGTTGCCCTATCTTAAAATACCTTCTTTACACACACTGTTCCAACTGTCCCATGCCAAGATACATGGAGATATATGTCAGCAAATAGATCCATGCATAATGCCAAGGAGCAAAGGCATGAGATGGGTTACAGAGAAACCTCCATAGGTAGGTTCTGAAGAGGCCAAAACTAGATTTGTGTGCAATGTTTGCAGTAGTATTCATCATACAAAGTAGGGAAGCAATTTTTATGTATGGTACATACCAATTTAATATGTGCTTGTTTCTGGTACTTTTCACTGTAATACTGTTCTTGTCGAAGATTCAGCAGCTGCTGCTGTTGTTTTTCTTTGAGCTCTATTAACTTCTGTGTCATTTCTGAATCAAGAGCAGCCAACTCTTGTTCAACAGTTGAAGGACTGTGATCTGGGCTGCCGGTTTCACTTCTACAGCACAATACAGAATAATAAATATAAATTGCAGCAATACAAATACAGAGGTCCTATCCCCCAGATGCTCCCATTATTCCATTAGCCAATATAACATTGACCTATCAAAGATTCTTTAACTCTTTTTTCCCTTGTCTTGTGCAAGTGTGTAAATATGCATCTGATGTTCACATATGTATAGAGAACTCTTCATTTACTAAAATATGGATGACCAGAGCATTCAGACAACAATCATGAATTTAATTCAATTTCTATAAAATCCGTAAAAGAAAGCTGCTAGGAACAGCAATGGTATAACAAAAAGGGATGAAGGTTGGTGTAGATCAGCGGTTGCCAACCGGTGGGCTGTGGAAAAATTTTGGTGGGCCGCAGAAGAAATGGCCCCCAAAAGCAATTAATCTGGGCTGTGCAGTTCTTGCACCTTCCGGCTCTCCGAGGGACCCCGGAGTCAGGGTCCCTGAGATGCACGCACCAACCAGCTCCTACACCCTGCGGCGGCAACAGTAGTCCCCTCTCCCAGCGCCCGCTGTAAGCTCTCCCCATTAGTTCTCTAGCTTTGAATTGCTCCCACCTCTCTTTCCTGCCCCCCGCCCACGTGCAGGCAGGAAAGGAAAGGAGCCATTCACAGCTCTCCACTCTCCCACCCTCACTGCCTCTCCCAACATCGAAGCCTTGGAGACGCAGGTAAAGCCGCCGCAGCAGTAGCATCCTGAGTTGCCTTAGCATGCTCGGTTAGTTAAGAATTGCCCTATCCAGAGAAGGAAGTGGTGCTGGAGGATGAGGAGGCAATAGTGGAGAAGCAAGCAACTCAGGGCGCTACTGCTGTGGCAGCTTTGCCTGCGTTTCCGAGGCTTCGATGTTGGGAGAGGCAGCAAGGGCTGAAAAAGCGGGGAGCTGTGCATGGCTCCGTCTCCCTTTCCTTTCCTGCCTGCATGTGGGGGGGGGGGGGGGGGAGAGAGAGCCAGGAGCAATTCAAAGCTAGAAAACTAATGGGGAGA